GTCGTGGCAGGGTTTGGTCTGGGTGTGTGGGGGCGAGGGGTTGTTCCACTCCTGAGCCCTCCGGCTCTCCAGCACTCCTGCCTGCAAGCTGCCAGAACACCTTGCGGTCTTTATTTAGTTTCACCAGTAGTCTGACTCTTTTTCTTTCATTATAGGCAATCTCTTTGCAGAGTCAAATCTTTTACAAATCCCTGTCGAGACTGTGAGATGAGGTTGTCTTTGGTGTATAACCCTCCATGACTCTGCTTCCTAATCTTTGTCGTCTGATCCATTCACAGCAGTGCATGGCAGGGGACAGGAGCGTGTCTTTGGGACTTCTTGGGCCTGACTGAGAGAGCTCACCTCTCAGTCACTGGGGCACCTTCAGGGGCAATAGCATGTTCATATCTCAAGTCAGCAAGGAGAGAGATGAGCGTCACTTACCTCGCTTGAGGTGTATACTGTTACGAGCCAGATCATGTCACCACGCGTGTTCGTGGAGGCACAAAGCAGCTCCTGTTGCTGACTTTTACACCTCTGAAACCAGGCTCTAAAGTGGAGAAAGGTTTTTTTCCACCTTGTGAAATAGTTTGCGCAGGACAGAAGTCATTACTGTAGGAAATCTGTGATAATTCTCTCCCCTAACTGATCGGATTTCCGCATCACACCTCTGAGTAACACAAGTGAGGGAATTTCCCAGTAAGGTTGCTCTTGTTCCCTGCATAGCCCCTGTCTCCTCGCCGAACCCGATAACAATCTTACCGTTCCCTGCCCTCCTGAAAGCCTAAGCAGCCAGTCCTTCTAGACAAATCTGTATCTCACTGAAACAAAGCCAATAGAAAGTATATGCCTCTACCTCTCCCCTGAGCTGCTAAACCCTCCCGCAAGTGCCCTTACCCTATCTCTTACTGGTTCCCGCCCGTCTCCCCCTCTGTTGCGGTGTTGTGCCCAAAGCCATCTGTGCCGGTGTCCCTGGGGTTGCACACCTGAAAATTAGATGTTGATTGAAGAGTTAGATTTCTGGATATACAAGAAAATTTGTACCCTGCAAGGCTTGACACCCTCCTGTCCATAACCACATCTGTGTAAGTTCATAACCACGTTAGTGTAAATTCTGGGTTACCCCTGTGGGCCCTCAGCCTTGGAGGGCCTTGCCTTTCCAACCCTGGGTGGCTGGAGTGCCTAGGGTGCAGTCACGTTACTTGACTGGTGTTTCTTTAAAACTCTGGGCAGAGAAATTGCCTTTGCTTCTGCAGGAAAGGAAACCTGTTCCCTCATCCCTTGTTGGCCGCTATCCTGGACACATTGCCTTCTAGTGCCAGCTGCTGGCTAACGGCAGGATGTCCGCGCTGCTTGTGGGAGCTGTAGGCTGGTCGCGGCTATCCTTTTCCAGCACACCTGCAGATACACTGCGTGTTTAAACAACAGTATGTGTTTGTGCGTGTATGAGGGGGCCGTCTGGCCAAGGCACATGGGACGCAGCAGCCTCTGCAATGCAATAAAGGTGAGGGAGAGGAGAGCTGTGTTACTTAGCACTTTAGAAACGAAACTAAAAGAGGAGAGCGTTTGCCTACCTGGTTTATTTCCTTGCCCAAGTCCGAACCTTCACTCTGCCAGGGATGCTGCAGATGCCAATGGGTGGCCATGCGGAGCAAAAATATTCCTTCCTGTATGGGAGCCCACAGGATGCACGCAAGACTTCCCGCAGGGTTTGCCTCTTCCAGCAGTGTGGTTTGTGCTGTAGCCATGCCTCAAACCTGTGTCATGCGAGGGAAGGGTTTGTCCGTGGAGGAGACGGGAGGATTTTCTAAAGCATCCGAGCGTGCTGGGAGCACACACTGCATGCTCCCGGCTTGGACAGCCCTGAGAAACACAAGCTCGCTGACCAGCTGGGGCCCTGGACCCGCTATGTAACGGTGGTCTCAGAGAGGTTGTGGCCCCACAGCCAGGACCCCATGTGCTGCGCTTTTAGATTAGAAGTCAAGGTCTGCCTCTTTTAGCTGCTCTGTGGGCTGCTGGGCGTGCAGAGCCTGCTCCTGCCCACGTGGAGGGCGCTGCCAGGGAGTCAGCGGGGCGCCTAATGCTCAGCGTTTCCCCTTTTCCATCAGCATCTCTTAGCTCCAACGCAAGATGGTTAGGAGGGAGGATTTCTGCAGTGCCTCTGCCTGGGACTGGAGTGGAGATAGCTGCTGTTCCCTTTCTCTGCTCCTCCAGGAGTGTGCAGGGAAGGGTGCGTGTTGCTCTCGTTTCCGAGATATCAGCTCCCTGCCTGTTCCACGAATCTCTGCGCCGTGGGTCGCTGTCAGCTTGCCACTGCGCACTTGAGGTTGTGGTGGTGCTGTGGCCCACCCTTGCGTGCGTGCTGAGGCACCGGCGTTCCTGGAGCTCAGCACGGCCCGGGACCCCTGGGGACCCCTGGGCAGCCTGAGGAACGATTTGCTACCTTGGTGCCTGCTACCCCCAAGGAAGGGATCTCTGGGACTCGGGGCCCTCCCAGTCTCGGAGAGGTGCCTGGCGTGTTCCTACAACCCCCGCGCTCTCTGGCTACCATGCACTTTAGTTCTTGCATTGTCACCAAGGGGGAAGGAAGGACCTGTAAGGAAATGGTCTCTTCAGGTGGTTTAGTTACTCTGTATAAAGACTTATACATACCTGTGTAAATGAAGATTTGTACAAACCCTGTAATTGTAAAATAAACAGTTACTAAATATGTTTCCCTCCCGCTGCATCATCTGGATCAGGGGCAGCTCTGCAGGACTGGGCTGGAGGTGCAAAATCTGCTCTTGTGGTAGGTACCTCCTGTCCCCCGAGCTGGCCCTGTCCCCGTGGCGGCGAGGGTAGCTGTCTGCGGTTGCTGACCCGTGTGCGTCGCCTGGTGCAGAGCAAACGGGTGGGAGGAGGAACAGAAGCAACTCGTAACAAGGATGCAGGAGCAGTGCCAAACGTTGCTTTCGTGTTGTTTGTTTGCTGTTGCTGTTCTCTCATCTTTAAGCTGCCCACAGTTGGCTAGAGGCCAGGACTTGCAAATTCCACCAGATCTCTCGAAAGTCCCTCGCCTCAGAAGCGCAGCCCCAGCCTCTCGGGCGAAGAGCAGCTGTGACCTCTCTGGGTGTTTTGCACCTCGCACGGGATGCCTGGCGCCCTGCTGCAAGAGGAGATCCCGAGCGGCCAGGCACAGTCCCCGGGCATGGTGCCCATCGTCAGGGCTGCCTGGCACAGCCAAGTCCTGCCGTCACCGTTTCCTTGTTTGCAGCTCTCGCCCTTTCCCCTCGTGGCAGCCTGCGGCCGAGGTGGGTGCGCACCCCTCCCTGCACTCTGCTGGGCCGCGATGACGCAGCCACTTTCTCTGGCCCTGGGAACTTGCTTTGCTCAGTGACACGAGGCTGGTGGCCGTGTTTACCAGATTGGGCCAGCACTATTTTTAGCTTGCTGTGACTTCCTCTCAAGAAGCAATTTTCTTAATAGTGTTCAAAACTGTTTTGTAGGAATGCGAAGACAGAGGCCCTGTTGCGCCTGCTGAAGCTCTGCCCCTTCCTGGAGGGAGCACGGGGGCTGCTCGAGGGCTCCGCGGCGCTGGCGAGGGGTGGAAGGCAGGCAGCGATGAGGTTTGATGGCACAGGGAAGCTCGGTGAGCTGGCTGCCCGCGGTCCCTTGCCTGGCCTTGCCCAGAGCTCAGCGAGTGGACAGCAGCGCGGCTTGCGCCCGAGTACCTGGGTGGCCCGGACAGAGCTTGGGGGGAAAAGCCCAGCACCATCCTTGGGTCCTGGGGCTGCTCCAGCAAAGAGGGACGGGCAGGCAGTACCTGGCGCTCGCCCTGTCCTGCCGCGGCACCCCTCCGTGTGCCTGGCAAAGCAAAAGCAGCGGATGAGTGATGAGGAAGTGCGATGCAGGCTGGGAACGGGGCCAGGCTGAGCAGAGAGGAACAGGCATGGAGAGGGGTCCTGCAGCCCACAGGGAGCCCGGCACCAGCCCAGGAGGGCTTGCAGGGGGAACTGCGGCTGCCCCGCCCCGCGGGCAGGGTGGCCCACCC